ACCTAAAGGCGATGGCCTCCAACCTAAGAGCGATGGCCTCCAACCTATTCACACACAAACCTACCTGGAAATGTACTCCAATGCCAATCAACTCCTCCACAGTCGGGACCCAAGGTGTGAAGCGATCGACTTCCAGTGATCCCAAGCGGCGAGGACCAGAAGTCTCCAGGTGATCCTAGCAGTCGAAGACAGCACGGAGAAACGAGGGCTGGTCTTCGCTGCTTTTCACTTCATGACGATGGATCTTGGATGTCACTCGTTGTGAAACGACACATCACGAACGCCGAGATCACTACCTTCGCCACCTTCACCACCTCCCGTAGTCTGATCGAACAAAAATGCTCTGAAGCTTTCACCAGCCTGTACTCGCCCTGCCGGCAGCAGCGCCAGGCGCGCCATGGCTCGAAGCGGGCCGTGCGCGCCATGCTCGGCGAGAATTGGCCCAAATGTGCTTCTTGTTAGTATAGCTGTTTGCTACTAGTAGTAATGCCCTTTGTTACTAGCAGCCATGCCCTTGTTACTGGTAGCTTAGTAGCTTCTTGTTACTAGTAGTTCAACTCTATCCCAAACACGACCTGTCCAGGACTGTCATATATGAAATACATACATTGCGGTGGTTGACCAGGGGTCAATGGGGCGGCATATAGTCCAGTCCTCGGAGTCTTTGGGTAGAGGGCGCCACTTGAAATACCTTATAACATGACCCGAACAGTATGACCTGGTATGACATATATGTGACTGGATCCGTTTTTCCGAGGTACAACAGCATGAGATTCTGGGAATTGTACATATTTGCACTTAGTGTTAAATGCAGAAAACATTCTCAAGTGGTGGCCTTCTGTCAGATATGAAACATGGCCCTGATCAGCTCCACATCAGCCACATCTGCTCCCGTCTTCCTTCTTCCAAATCCATGCAAGCATATGCAAGCTATATAAGGTCTAAAAGCCCAAATACAGCAGCCATGGTAGTAACAAGGACGCTATGCTCGGTGGAGGGGCGTGGTTGCAATCTGTTGCAGCCTTCCGGGACGTGGGAGAAGTCAGACGACGTTGGTTTGGGCACAAAGCCCACCACAATCTCCGGGATGTGGTAGAAGGGTCAAAGAAGTGAGAATCCGGGTGACCCAAATGGGGTGGTTGATTTCAGGGGTCTCCGTGTCGGCAGCATATGGGGGATGGCTCCAAACTTGGAGCCCCTGACCTTCCGGGTCAACCGGTGTCTCCGGACGCCATGACAACCCTATGGAGACCGTGTCCACACGGAGACCGTGTCTACAACAAATGGTCCTCCACATCCTCCACAGGACTTGGAAGGCTTACAGCTCATGTGCAGCAGCTTAGCCCCAGCCCTTGCAGCATCGAAGCTTGACTGCAACACATCCAGCTTCTCATTCTTTAGGGCTCCAGTCATCCCGAACTGACCCGGTGAAGGAGACAATGAGACGGTGCCAGCCAGTCGGGTCCGGCCAGTCGTACCGAACCCGAGGTTGCGATCATTCCGGCTCCTCTCGTAGCGCCTGCTCTGCTGCCTCTTGCAAAGCGCTCCTCTCGTAGCGCCCATCCCCAGAGAAGCCCTGCCTGGACGTGCAAGCAAGTCTGGACGTGACGCTGATGTGCAACCAAAGCAGTGTTATAACCCAGACGCGACTAATGGGACTGCCATATATGCCGATCAGTGGGGGGTCAATGTAGGCATATATTCCATACATGGAGTGTCTGGGTAAACTTATTTTCCCTTTTTTTCCTGCGTGGTGCAGCAACCTTTTTGATTGACAAAGTGAAGCAAACATCATGTGGCCCGCACTTGAAAGCATACACGGGTGTGGTCGGCCAACGTAAGCCAAAGAAATACGCAGTCGGTCTGCAAGCACACGGGCAGTGCCATAAATCTTCGGCGAGGGAAAAAACAAAACATTGATATTCGGCACTTGGCTTCCAGCACGTTGGCGTTGTACTTCAGGAGGGTATCACACACCTGCGAACTCCCAGGCAGCCGTGTATGTTCTGAGCCAGAAACCTTAAACCTTGGAACTACTTGTGTGTATTCAAATAGGGAGACCTCCCAAAGACACCCGTGGAAGAAGGGAAATAGATCCAAACCCATTGCCATTGAAGGCCAGTCTGTTTCGTCACAACAACCAGGGTCGTTCGACTCCTTCGTTTGAACCAACCTTCCCTTTCCTAAAGAACTCCATGTTGGATCAACCAGGACCTTCAGTACGTGACCTCTTTGGCGTCTTTCCAGTGGCCTCTTTAGGGTGAAATTGTGACCTCAGCCACTGAGATTTCAAGGACGGTCATGGACTGAAGGTCCTGGAACTCCAAGTACCTCAGAAGATGCTTGCCAGGGGTGGGTGCGTAACTCTAAACCACCGAACCTGTAGGAGGCACGACTGGAGCCCCACTGGGTCAACCGGGTCTACGACTGGAGCGTCTCTTTCATCACCTCTTCGCAGGTGCCATGGCAGAAGACTTCATGGGTCGAGAACTCGATTCCTACGACGTGGGACTTGATCCTGTGAAGACGATCTATCCATATCCCAAATACTCCATGTATAGACTACATACTATTGGGGTGGTGGATTTCAGGGGTCCATGTATGCCAGTCCCATTGGTCGTATCTGATTATTGGGCACCCACATGCCTGCTCACCGCACATCAAATGTGTTGAACATATCAGCCTCGATCCCTACACCTCCAAGCACCTCCTAAGAAGGTATTTGGACCCTCCAAACCCACCCCAAACACCTTCTCCGAAGGTACTTGGAGGTCTAGGGGATAGGAGGGTGGCCATGGATCTTGTATGCCAAAACCCACCTCCAGATGGCCCTCGCCAGATGCCACAGAGAGGGGCGTCCAACCCTGGAAGCCAACGTGGAGCGGAGAGGGAGAACATCTCGTGCAGAAAACTGGATTGAGAGTTTGGGTCTTTAGAGCTAACATTTAACAATTTAATATACACATCATGCGAGCTCAACATCCAAGCCAGTGATTGGCGAAAGTGCTGGTGTGGTCCTTTATGTATTTCAGAGGTTCGCAACGCAAAGAACATTTTCCCTCAAGACGTGCATCCCTCAGACAACTACACCAAAAAACCATGTTAGTCGATCGACAGAATCGCCAGTGAGCTGAGAAAAAAAATAATCTATTGGAGATCAAAATAGGTCACTATGTATATATACACAAAGATAATAGTGATATAACTACAACTGTTTATATATTTAATATAATATATATATATATAACTATATATTAGATTATAGACCTGTGACATAGACCCCTTGACATTACCAAGCATCCCAACCTTGCCCAAAAAGTCCCATCCAAGAATTGGTTGTGTCTGACCCGAAACATCTGGAGATGACCATGCTGGCCGAGCAGTCCAGAACTGTGCGGTTCGCAGTCCAGAACGCGACGTACGACCGCTGGTCCCGAGTTCCACTGGTCGAACGACCACAACTGATCCATCATGGTTCGGAACAAAAACGCATCGTTGATCCATCAAGGACCAAGGAACATGTTACGGTCTGCTCAGCTTCCATGGTGTTCAAACTCAGTGCATGCAATCATCTGCTCATATCAGGTTACCAGGGTCCTGTGGATGCGAGAAACCAGATATAGTTTGGGTATATCCCACCCCCCCAGGTGCCCAAATGGATGATGATGGGGCCTGGTTGCAGGGCCGACATCTCAAAGAGTGTATGATCGTGTATAATGCTTTAAACAACGGCTACCAGTCTCAAAGTACCTCAGAAAATGAGTACAGTCGTATCTGATTTTTGTTCGGGTCACGTCCCATGGTCATACTTCAAGTCGGGTCCTGGTATACTGGTTTACTGGGCGGCCCACCCTCCCAGTGGTAGGCCGGGATTCCTCTGCTCTGTTGAAATGAAAAACCTCTGACCCTTCACTGATCTATCGAGCCTTGTCACCACCATCATCCGCATCGGCACCATGCTTCAGTAAGGCCTGACGACAAGGCGAGCCATGGCGAGCCATCCCTTGCGCCATTGGATCCCGTTGGCCTTCCGTTCGTTCTTGTAGGAGAAATTGAATGGTCCCTGAGGTGTTAATAGTATGAAACACATACTGTAATACTCGACAGATTTGTGCCCAAGGCGCCTGCGGTATCGTGTCATGTGAAACATGTTCTACACTTGATCATAGCCATAAGGCCGTGAGGCATGTCTGCACAATTTCACTCCGGTCATCCTCTGATTTGCTCGTTTGGGACACCGGGAAACATGGCTTCTTTCAGCCAAAAAAAATGCTCAGCCGCAACAGCTGCTGCATTTGCCAAAGGCTTCTCTTGGCCTCACATGTTCTCCCTCTCTCAGATGTGGACATCCTTCTCGATGGAACTTCTTGCCAGTCTTCGTGATGAAGATGGCTTCCGGCAGCTCCAAGCTCTTGATGCGAGCCAGGTGTCTCATGATCTCGTGGTCTTTGAACTTGACCATCTTCTGCAGCTTCTCGATCTCGCCGGCCATCTCGGCATTGTCAGTGATCCTTGGTGTCAACGGCGCTGGTCTCTCCGATGATGCTGCTGTCTTTCTGTCCAGCTTCATCTTCAATTCGGCATTCTCGTCTTCAAGCTTCACTAGTCCAGCTCTCATGTCGCTGACCGTAGATTCGAGCACCATTTTCCTTGCATTGATCACTGTCATGTCATTCTTGAGATTCTTCAGCTCGAAGTCCTTGTCATCGTACTTCTCCTCAAGCTTCTCATATTTGTCTTTCCACCATTCATTGTCAAACTTGAGGCTGTCGATCTCCTGTTGCTGTAGGTGTGCATCTTCTTCGCTTTTCTTGTTCTTTCGCTTCAGCGTCTCCTTCTCGTCAATGACCTTTCGTGCAAGGTCTTCCCATGTGTCTCGAGGACTTGCTTTCCTCTTCCGCTGGAAGGATGCTCCTGAGGATGATGGTTGATCTCCTTCTTGATCGACATCCATGTCGTCATCGTCGTCGGACTCGATCTTCACAGGTTGGATTCTTCTCTTCTTGCTCATCCAACTTGTCACCATTCTCTCAAGCATCACCGCCAAAATCACCGTGATGAAAATCATGAGGTACACGGAGAAGTAGCTCTTCTGCTCTTGATTCTCCGGTTCAGTGGATTGCGCATCCACCAAAGTTCCAAATGCCAAAGTCGGCATCATTGCCGCCAGCATCTTCTTGGAAGTGGCAAACGCTGCCAGTCCCACAAGCACTGAAGCATGTGTCGTTCGCACCATGCTCTTATCCTTCTCTGCCTTCAGGATCATCTCCTCGTCCTTCAGCATGAGGTCGTGCTCGTCAAAGTCGATGGTCGGAAGAACCCTTGTCACAATTGGGTGCTTCTCCACTCCATGCAGTCTGATTAAACCTGTTGTCAACAACATCAGCATCATTTCATGGACCATGGACTTGGTGAGGGAATCGGCAAGCATGTAGTTCGTTGGTACTAACGTCACCATTCGAACTCTGCCATCCAGTCGTGCTTCCTTTATGGACAAAACGTAGAGCCGCTGTGTCTTGTCCTGAGGCATCGTCTTGCTGCCTGTGATGAGCTCATAGACATCTCGAGCATCTCCATACATGTCCAAAGGCATCTCTGGATTTCCAGCTGTCTGGATCTTGATGAGGTCCTTCAACGATGGAGGATGTTGAGGATGGAGCATCTCGCTGAGCCTGATCATACACAATGTTGCAGATTCCAAGGCGTTCACCATGGCTAGTGTCTCACCATGTGATGTGCTGTAGCTCACCCTCTTGGCTTTTGCTCCATGTGAATGCAAAACATGCATTACTCCTCCATGCATGAGTTCATGCTCCTCAGTCTCGCAGGTGTGCTCAAAGTCGATCGTGATGTTCCGCCATTCGTCATCGGCCAAAGCAATGACTACACCTTCCTGGGCATAGTTCCGGCCCTTGCTGGCTGCCGAAGCATCATGAAAGCAAACTAGTCGTCGATGCTTTGTCCTGAAGTAGCGGTAGTGCAAACCAACATCTGCAAACTCCTTCACCTTCATGAGCACATTGTTTGCTTGCTTCAAATCCTTGACCTCTGCTACTGTCACTCGTGATTGTAGTGCTGAAACATCCGCAATCACATCCAGCCGTGTCGCTGTCACCCAAAGAAGTGCTCCTAAGATGGATCGCAGATCTGAGACTTCTGCTGGTGTCAATCTGGAATCATCTTCTCTTGCAGGGACAGGTGCAGGTGTAATCTTTTCTGAAAACTCCTGCTGGCTGATCATGTAGCCGTCTGCAGTACGAAGGTACTCACAACCACAATGAGTGAATGGCAATTGCTGTCGTGTCACTTTGCCAAACTTCTTGACAAAGGAATCATATGCATCGTCCAGCCACTCAGGCGTTCCAGTGATCGCCAAGTCATCCACATGCGTCGTGACCATTGCAATGTTCTCACCATCCTTCTTCCATGTCCAACAGTTCTCATCTAGGTGAGATGGTTCCGCGCCGCTTTCTCGGATGAAATCATGTAGAGAAAACTGCCAAGCCAATGGAGCGTCATTCAACCCATAAACAGGCTTCAAACATAGCAGTCCATAGTTGTGCAACTCTCGTTCAGGAACCTTGAACTCGTCAGAGAATTCCGCCAGATGTCGCCAAACATTGAGTGGAGGAAATATCACCACCATGCGGACCGGCGCTTGAATGCCTTTCTTCTGCAGGGTCTTTCGGATCTTCTCAAAGTCAAAGCCCTTGAGAAATGCTCCAGCAATGTCCAAGCTTTCCAGGCTCATCTTGCGTGACCATGATGCTCTGGATACCAGGATCCTTTGGCTTAGCCTTGTCGCAGTCGTTGACCTTGTCGTGAGCTCTCCTTTCTGTCCATCCAAACAACCACGCGCACAAAGTCGAGACTTGATGCGAATGCTCTTGTCAGGATAGCGCTTTCGCTTGCGAACCCACCGTGCATCAATCTGCACGTACTCTCCTGTGATCTTCATCTTGTGGATCTTTGCGAATGCTTTCTCGTCAACAAACTGCTTGATCTCGTTGCGATCAGCTTCTTCAACAGCAGGCCAAATGTCGGCCGTGATGTCTGCTTCTTCAATGTTGCGAGTCTCCTGATCTACCTGGTAGATCTCTGCAGTTCTGAGGCATGCGTATGCTTGATGCGTCCTCTTGTAGTGGAAGTGGAACAATTGAGGAAGCTTCTCTTTCTCCCGGAGATGTTGTTCCACCATGAACTGATTGCATACTTCTGACCACATGTGACAACCTGTCAACCAATCATGTCCACAATCGATCTGAATGATGTGGTTCTCAGTCATGTTGACATGCAGGTGTCGTAGAAAATCGAGCTCTTTCTTCACATTATATATGCGCTGCCTCTTCTTCTCGGGTGCCATGACCACTGTTCTGGTCTCTGGTGCATCTCTCTTCTCGCCTCTGTCATCGGGAACGTTGACGTCCATCTTGTCGTCATCCTTGTTGATGGTCGACTGACTTGCTGGCTCTTCCACAGGATCAGAATGATAGTGGAACAAGTAGATGGTGCACATCTCTTCACGAGAGTAGTTGGAAACCCTCTTCATCTTCAAGAATCCGTCGGAGAAGTGCTCTTGCACGGCGTAGCCTTGTCCTCCATGAATCCATGAGATGAGATGACCAACTGTGTTCGATGGAGGCTTGATGTTCCGCAAGCTTCGTCCAAGTAGAGCTCCATGGACTTGATGCTTGCTCAAACCTTTGTAGATGTGCTGCACCCACAACATGATCTTCGTTGCATGATCATCCTCACGAGGGAAGAATCGCCACTTGCCATTTCTCTTCAGCCAACCATAGATGTTCGTCTTGTATTCTGTACAAATCTCATCAACTTCCTCAAGGCATCTTCTGTCTCCATGTTCGGCAAGGTGAAGTGGAAAATGCCCTTATAGGATCGGATGTGTCTGAGTGCTACCAGATATGGCTTTCCTTGATATTGGATGATTGCCACACCGTCATCAGCATCCAGTCGTAGCAACAAAGCAGGTCCACGCCAGCCAGGGTCGTTCTTCACCTCTCTGTAGAATTCAACCTCTGATGTGCCAGCAATGAGCTGGTCGAGGTCGAGCTGGTGTGTCCTGGTTCTGGCTGCTCGTGCTACACGATCTTCAATCACAGCTTGATGAGCTTGTGCAAGTGCTGTTTGCCGGATTCTCATCGCCTTCTCAAAGACAGTGACATCTGTCTCCTGGGCTCCAACAACACTCATAATGCCACGGCTCTCAGGATCATAGAAGCCATTTGGAAGAGTGCCAAACACTGCCATGGATGGTGTCACGCCACCGTAGGACAAGGTGATGTTGTGAGCCATGCAGCTCTCCTGAGCTATCTCTTCATTCTCTGGCGCGAGGCCTTGTCGTTGAAGTTCTGCTCGTAGCTTGTACATGGTGAGCTTCATCAGACCCACATGTCGTTCCACCAAGCCAGTGCCAGTGTGCTGTTCGGCTCCATGTCCTTGTGTTGTGCCACGTGGCGCACGCTCAATGGAGAGTCGTTCAAACTCTGCTGCAGTCTCATGTGACATCAAAGATACTTGTTGATCGAGAACAAGTCGCCGAGGTGGTCCAAATAGAAAGATCCATGCCTTCTTAAATGCCGTCAGCAAATCGTCAGATTCTTGTCCTTCAATCGTCGTGCACATTTTGAAGCGAGTTGCTTCATCACAAAGAAGCATGAACCAGGTGTTCTCCCACATGAATAGGTCCATCTGTACTGATTCATTGAAACTGCTTGCTCCTCGTGCTCGAACTTGTGGACGATTGGGAAGTCTGACATACTTCCTGCAGATGGCACAGCATTGAACCGCCTCAGTCGCCAACTTGATGACTTCAGGTGACATTCCAGCTTTCTGCAGTAAGTTCGTGAAGTCGGAGATCGGAGAATGCCAAAGCCGCTCGTGAAGACCAAGTAGGAGTTGCTTGACCTTCGTGTGGTTCTCATCTTCCATGAGCTTCGGAATGCGAACCAACACTCTTCGCAAGTTGTAGTTCGGCTTCAATGGCTTGATCTCCTCAACTGACTTTGTCTGCAGTTCCTCATCTTCATAAGGTGCAATCTGAGTTGGATCTCGTTCAACTGGGTCTCCTGGTCGATCGAGTACTACTGGAGGTGTCAAGGGTGCTCTCTTGAGATCAGCTATGCTCTTCTCATCCATCTCGTCGAGGTTCTGGGCAGGCTGCACGATACCAGGTTCATCAGGTCTTGTTCTTGGCCTTGATGCTGGTGTTGATGGCGAAGGTGCCATATCGTGCTCCACTCCATAGATGGTGATTGCCCAGTCATCCTCGTCGAGTGCTGCGTTGATCTGGCTGAAACTCATCTCTCGCAAATCTTCTGGAGGGTGAATGTCCCATGCTTTCACATTGCCTCTCACTTGCATCCGTAGGTATGATGATGTCAATGGAAGCTTCGGCTCTGCTGATGCAAGATGGAAAGGTCGGAGTTCAATCTTCACTCCTTTGACTTGGATCAGGTCCTTGAAGAACTCCTTAAAGAGGCTCATGAGCATAGGATTGTCCAGCCAGTGAACATAGTCGATCTTTCTCCTTGCTGCTTCATTGAAGACACCCATAGTGGCATTGATGGTTTCGAGGAGGAGCTTCTTGAGCATGTGTGTGGTTGGCACGGAGAGCGCTTTGCTGGTAAAATTCTTGATCTCCACGCCCTCATAGAGCTCCGCCTCGGCCTCTTGCTTCCACTTCTTCATGGCGTCCATCTCCGCTTCGAGCTTCTTCTTTCTTCGTGGATTTTCTTCGGATGGCCATCGTCCATGTCGACACTGTCCAGGCACCAAAGTGTGCTCTATGTTGCGAGGACAATGACGTCCAAGCTGGCATCGGACACAATCATAGTAGTGACCAAGCGTCACTGCGTAAGCATCATGTGGCCAAGTTCTCAGCTTGAGTAGGTTCATGTAGGCCAGGTACTGGATGATGTCCTGCTTCATGCGTTGGCACATTCCTTTTGGGTAGACTGCTGACATCGAAGTCCTGGTCAGACCAGATGGGCCTGTGCCTTTGAGCTGAGTGTGTGGAACACCGCAGTGACCTCCGCATCGAAGTCCAGTGTGCTTCCAACGAATGTTGGATCCAAAGCCAGTGGGCTTCATGATGGGGTAGCCGTGTTCATCTTGAGCTCCATGCATGCACTGGTCCACTCTCTGTCTGCTCTTGTTGCCAGGAATTCGTTGCAGTCGTAGAGGATTCTCTGGAAGTTCTTGCCATGATTGTGCTCCATAAGGTTGTTCTATGTTGTAGCCACGGCCATTGGCATCTTGTCGTGCAGAAAGATCTTGACATAGTTGTAGTGCTGGTCTATCTTGTAGACGTTCACACATCTTCTCATCAGGATCTTTCGTAGATGCCGCAACTGACCATGGTGCACAGTCCGGAGACATATGAATCACTCCAGGTTGGAACTCTTCGTAAGCTGCGTGGATCATGCCACGATGGCTTGCTACCCGCATGTCCCAGCCGTACCGGTAGTCGACGGGGAAACCAACCATGAGTCCAGCAAGAAGCAACGTCAGCGACAATCTTCCACTGCCACTGAACAACTCCCAGAAGTGCCATCGCAATCCTCGTCCTCGAACTCTCTTGAACCAGCTGTCAAAGTTCTTGGGAGTCACCGGCGTCAATCCGCTCTTGGTGTAGAACTCCTCAGGGATTGCTTTGTATCGTTTCTTCAACTTGGCTTGATCTGCCGTCTCGGGGATCATGTCGCCAGTGTAGCTGAGGAAGACGTTCTTTTCTTCATCATAGCTTGCCTCACGTAGGCCTTGTTCATCATGAATTGCCGGGGCCAAAATGGCAGGTCCGGCAGGGTGCTCGTTGATCAAGTGGTTTGAATTCTTCGCAGGCTCTTTGCTCTTGTCGTTCTTCATGCACTGCTCTGCCAAAATGGCTGATGGTGAAACTTCGTCCTCGGAGTCGCGCTCTTCTGCAATTGGTGATAGGCTCTTGTTCTTCTCGCTGTTCATGAGGTCGTAGGGCTCCTCGGACTTCTTCTGCTGTTCCTCATCGATGAAGTGAATCTTCCTAGAGGGAACAGGATTCCGTAGTTCATCTTCTTCTCCATTCTCGCAAGCCAGATGATCACAACCAACATCATGATCTTGGCTCTTCATTGGGCCTTTGTCTCGTTCATGTTCACGATTGTAATCACACCGGTCATCCTCTGCCGCCGTCTGGGAATGGAAGCAGTGTCTGACCCGTGGTTGCACGTCAGGCCAAACTTTCGAAGTGATCTCGGTGATCTTCTGGAAGAAAGCGATGGCCTCGTGCTTCGAAGCTCTTGGAACCTTCTCGTTCTGAACGTTGTCACAAGGCAGGATGTAGTGTCCAGAATCTGTGAGCAGGATCCTGAAGAACTTCACGTGATTAACCTCTGCATCCATGGCGTCCTTGGTGTTCAGAACAAGCATGCCATCACCATTCTCGAACCAATCTGTCAAGATCGATGCACCCAATCGACGAAGAGTCGGGTTGCCAACCAGTGCTGGGCATAGGCTTCCAGCTCCACCAATGACCTCCGCCGTGTAGGTGATGGGTTGTCCTGCGGTCGCCATGGTCAACGTGACCTCTCCGAGAGTTGACTCGCTGTTTCCTGAAATGCCGGAAACTGGAGTGATCTTGTTGCGGTTGATCTCCATCTCGCCCATGGAGCAACTCTTGAGCATCCTGAGGGTCTCGCTACCAACCAGCCCGGATGCAGCTCCGGGATCAATGAGCAAACCATAGCGTTCTTGCCCATGGATGGTATGGTAGCTCATCTGTGTCTCTTCTTTCTTCATGTTGAAGACCATGAAGTTCATCTTGAGCTTCTTGTCATAGTGATCCTTCGTAGTATACTCAGGCTGACCTGAATATCCCTCAGTTGGCTTCTTGAAGTCCTCATCCTCAGATGACGTGTGGATCACGAAGCTCTCGGTCTTCTTGGTCGTCTTGACCTCCTTGGAGCTTGTGGCAACTTCTTGCGGAGTTGAGGCATCAGGAATGCCTTCGCTGATCGACAGACCACCACGAGGCTTGTAGTTGTCCTCCTCCTGATAGGCGTAGTAGTGGCCTTTTCGACCAAAGCCTTTTCCTTTTCCTTTGCCTTTGCTTCTCCAAGGATGCTTGCTCTTGCCTTTGCTCTTTCCTTTGAAGTTGGGTCGCCATCTCCAGAAGCCTTTTGACTTTCCTTTTCCTTTGTAGTTGTGGCTGCCCTTCTTGTTCTTGCCCTTGCCAAGTGGACAATCTCGAACTCGGTGGAACTTGCTGCCACAGTTGAAGCAGCCATCATCACTGCCATTGCCTTTTCCTTTGTAATAGGCTTCGTTGTACTCGCCCGAGACATTGGAGTCGCTTGCTGAACCAGATGTCATGCCAGCCTCAAGGTCCACCTCTTGCCATGACTCATCGCTGGCATCATGGTTCTCATAGTAGTTCTCGTCGTTGGCGTACTCCTCATAGACCCATTCACCTTCATCGGCCTCTTCATAGCCATACCACCATGAATCCTCGGCCTCATAATCATCGCCCCAGTCCTGGTAGTAGGCGTCGTAGTCGCCATAGGACTCATCATTCTCTTCATAGAGGATCTGGGCGTCATCAGGTTCTCGCCGATTAGGGTTGATGCGCAATGCCAGAGCTCGAGCGTCGTTGAAGCGAGTATAGTCGCCAGCAACCTGCAGTTTGATGTCATCAACCGTCTTGGATGGCAAGCCAGAGTTCTTGAACCATAGGAAGAACTTGCCAACATCGTTCAACTGCAGTCCAGCTCTATCATGAGCATCATCGTACCGGCTGTCGAACTCGACGCTGTATTCGGACAGGCTGAGCTTTCCTCTTGCAAGGCCAAAGAACTTGTCCAGTGCTTGTGTCGCCAGATCTTGATCTTGCTGACCGAACGCCGTGCGGAGTGCGTTGGCCAGGAATTGCACTCCTGAGGGGATGTGGTTCTGGATGATCACATTGGTCGCTGGGTCGCGGACTTCATCCACAGCTAGTCGAACCAACGCTGCATCGCCGACATCGAAGGTGCCGTCTGGCCTTGGCACTCTCAAAGACATGGCGATCGTGGATGCTCGACCATAGAGTCGTCCAGCCACCAGTGGACCGATGGCTTCATCCTCCACATTGGCGATCCGGTACCAAAGCTTCAGCTTGTCGAAGTAGGTCCTCAAGGGATACGAAGCATCACCTGGAATCCAGCCCGGCGGAATGTCCCGCCGATACTCCTGGAGCGGAATGCTCCCAGAAGTGGGTGGATTCATAGTCCAACAATCTTGTAATCGATGGAGTCCACGGGGCCTGTGATGAGGTTCTCAAGGATGTAGTATTTATTCCTCTTGGGTTCAACCCCAAGTGAGGTAGTTTTCTGTGTTGTTTGTTCCTCTTGGGTTCAACCCCAAGTGAGGTAGTTTTCTGTCCTCGTCAGAGCCTTCTGACCTTCTCTTGCCACCGACCGAGCAGGATCTCGATCTCCTCCTCCAAAGGCCCTGCAGACCAGAGCCTACCGCGCAACTCGCGGTAGCAGCCAAGCCGAGCGCCAGCAGCCTATGGCGGCGCTGGAAGGATCGGCAACGGAGCACTAGGCTCCGCTACCAAACTCGACAGATTTGTGCCCAAGGCGCCTGCGGTATCGTGTCATGTGAAACATGTTCTACACTTGATCATAGCCATAAGGCCGTGAGGCATGTCTGCACAATTTCACTGTAATATTATATTTCCCTAGTAAAACAATCACTACTACCTTACGCCCGGGGGGGTGAAACATGTAACTTACAATTTGGGGTGTGTCAAAATGCAGGTTTTGAAAAACGATGATGTAAAACAATGGTAAAGGATGTCTGCGCGAGTGAATCAACGGTGCGACCGGACCATGACCGGTGGACCATGCGTTTCGCGCATGGCGCTTTTCTTGGCTCCAGGAAAAGACGGTACCTGGCAGTACATTCTCACCTCCATTCGACCCTCCGAAAAGGAGGTATACCTGGACCCTCAGGGTTGGTGGATTGTGAGCTAGCACTTGGAGGCCACCAGCGATCTCTTAGGAGGCCATCGCAGTCTCCAAGCCTGACCACCGTAAACACCGTTTGGGATCCACAAACTGAAGCGCTGCCAACGCAATCTAGGGATCCAAATGTCTTCTCAAATGGTGATGTGTTCGACCCCGCGACATGTAGCTGCCAGCCAGTCGGGTCCAGTCGTACCGAACCTGAGGGACTCGGTACGACAACAGATCCTTTTTTGGGGGAGGTAACCACACCCGCTATTAAAAGGGTGGAGGCCATTGCTAGTAGGTTGGAGGCCATCGCCCTTAGGTTGGAGGCCATCGCTCTTAGGTTGGAGGCCATTCCTAGTAGGTTGGAGGCCATTGCTAGTAGGTTGGAGGCCATCGCCCTTAGGTTGGAGGCCATCGCTCTTAGGTTGGAGGCCATACCTAGTAGGTTGGAGGCCATTGCTAGTAGGTTGGAGGCCATCGCCCTTAGGTTGGAGGCCATCGCTCTTAGGTTGGAGGCCATTCCTAGTAGGTTGGAGGCCATTGCTAGTAGGTTGGAGGCCATCACTCTTTATGTTGGAGGCCATCGCTCTTAGGTTGGAGGCCATTCCTAGTACGTTGGAGGCCATTGCTAGTAGGTTGGAGGCCATCGCCCTTAGGTTGGAGGCCATCGCTCTTAGGTTGGAGGCCACTCCTAGTAGGTTGGAGGCCATTGCTAGTAGGTTGGAGGCCATCGCCCTTAGGTTGGAGGCCATCGCTCTTAGGTTGGAGGCCATTCCTAGTAGGTTGATTGCTAGTAGGTTGGAGGCCATCACTCTTAGGTTGGAGGCCATCGCTCTTAGGTTGGAGGCCATTCCTAGTACGTTGGAGGCCATTGCTAGTAGGTTGGAGGCCATCACTCTTAGGTTGGAGGCCATCGCTCTTAGGTTGGAGGCTCTTGGGTTGGAGGCCAACGCGCTTAGGTTGGAGGCCATTCCTAGTAGGTTGGAGGCCATTGCTAGTCGGTTGGAGGCCATCACTCTTAGGTTGGAGGCCATCGCTCTTGGGTTGGAGGCCATCACTCTTAGGTTGGAGGCCATGGCTCTTAGGTTGGAGGCCATCACTCTTAGGTTGGAGACCATTGCTCTTAGGTTGGAGGTAATCACTCTTAGGTTGGAGGCCATGGCTCTTGGGCTGGAGGCCATGGCTCTTGGGTTGGAGGCCATCGCTCTTAGGTTGGAGGCCATCACTCTTAGGTTGGAGGTAATCACTCTTAGGTTGGAGGCCATCGCCCTTAGGTCGGAGGCCATGGCCCTTGGGTTGGAGGACATTGCTCTTAGGTTGGAGGCCATGGCTCTTGGGTTGGAGGTAGTCGCTCTTGGGTTGGAGGCCATGGCTCTTGGGTTGGAGGCCATCGCTATTAGGTTGGAGGCCATCGCTCTTAGGTTGGAGGCCATCACTCTTAGGTTGGAGGCCATGGCTCTTAGGTTGGAAGCCATCACTCTTAGGTTGGAGGCCATGGCTCTTAGGTTGGAGGCCATCGCTCTTAGGTTGGAGGCCATCGCCCTT